ACAGTGTCAGGGTTTCCATGAGTCTATTGATCATCTCATATTTCCAGACTCTGGGGGTGCTCTTTAAAAAAACCTCGCAACCATAGATCTACTTGGGTTGTTCTCCTGCAATTGGCAGGTCACTGGCATGCTAACAGAGAACGGCAAAAAGAAAGCAACCCGAGGAAGAAGTGCCTCCAGCCAGGACCATTCTTCCTTATATTTTCCCCCCACTAAAAAAAATGGAGATCAACGAAAAATATGAAGAAAGGGATCCTTTTCAGCCTTTGCCTTCCGCAGGATTTGACAAAGGCTATGCAGCAAAGAAGTGAAGAGAAGGAAGAAGATCAGCATGAGCAGATCCTGGAGGAGGAAGACAAGTCTGAAGATGAAGAAAGGGTGGCAGTGCCTGAGGGGGTGAACCCAGATGAATTAGACACCCTCCCGTTTTCTCCCGATGATTCCCAATGCCTGGGTTGTGACGTGCCAGCTGTTTCCGAAGAGTCGCCTTCGCAAGATGACCTTGTTCCAGAAACAGAAGAGGATGATGAAGAAGAGACACAGGAGGTTGAAGGGAAGAGAAAGTTCAAGGCACCAGCCGAAGACCAGAAGAAGAAGCGTGAGGATGAAGAGGATGAATCGGATGAAGAAGAGGATGAGGAGTCTGAAGAAGAGAAGAAGTGCATGGCAGCACCCAAAGACCCCAAGAAGAAGACCGCAGCCGCCAAGACGAAGAATCTTGAGGATGAAGCAGAGGATGAAGAAGAGGATGAGGAGGCTGAAGAGAAGAAGCAGTGCATGGCAGCACACAAAGACCCCAAGAAGAAGATGGCAGCCCCCAAGATGAAGAATCTTGAGGATGAAGAAGAGGATGAAGAAGAGGATGAGGAGGCTGAAGAGAAGAAGAAGAAGTGCATGGCAGCACCCAAAGACCCCAAGAAGAAGACCGCAGCCGCCAAGACGAAGAATCTTGAGGATGAAGCCGAGGATGAAGAAGAGGATGAGGAGGCTGAAGAGAAGAAGGAGTGCATGGCAGCACACAAAGACCCCAAGAAGAAGATGGCAGCCCCAAGATGAAGAATCTTGAGGATGAAGCAGAGGATGAGGATGAGGAGGCTGAAGAGAAGAAGAAGAAGTGCATGTCAGCACCCAAAGACCCCAAGAAGAAGAGGGCAGCCGCCAAGACGAAGAATCTTGAGGATGAAGAAGATGATGAAGAGGAGAAGAAGTGCATGGCAGCACCCAAAGACCCCAAGAAGAAGACGGCAGCCCACAAAGTGAAGAAGATTGAGGATGAAGAAGAGGATGAAGAGGAGGATGAGGAGGCTGAAGAGAAGAAGAAGTGCATGGCAGCACCCAAAGACCCCAAGAAGAAGATGGCAGCCCCCAAGATGAAGAATCTTGAGGATGAAGCAGAGGATGAGGAGGATGAGGAGGCTGAAGAGAAGAAGAAGAAGAAGAAGAAAGTGCATGGCAGCACCCAAAGACCCCAAGAAGAAGACGGCAGCCCCCAAAACGAAGAGGCGTCAGGATGAAGAAGAGGATGGAGAAGAATATGAGGAGGCTGAAGAGAAGAAGAAATGCATGACAGCACCCAAAGACCCCAAGAAGAAGACGGCAGCCCACAAAGTGAAGAAGATTGAGGATGAAGAAGAGGATGAAGAGGAAGATGAGGAGGCTGAAGAGAAGAAGAAGAAGTGCATGACAGCACCCAAAGACCCCAAGAAGAAGACGGCAGCCGCCAAGACGAAGAATCTTGAGGATGAAGAAGAGGATGAACAGGAGGATGAGGAGGCTGAAGAAGAGAAGAAGTGCATGGCAGCACCCAAAGACCCCAAGAAGAAGATGGCATCCCCTAAGACGAAGAAGACTGAGGATAAGGATGAAGATGATGAAAAAGGTCAGGCTGTCGAAGTGCAGAAGCGAAAGACATCACCAAAAGACTCCAAGGTGAAGAAGATGGCAGCCAAGAAAGACGAGGAGGAAGGAGAAGATGAAGAAGCAAAGAAAGATGAGGAGGAGACAAAGAACAAAAAGGCTAAGTTCGAAGAGCTCACTGAAGTGCTAGACACTGATGATGAAAAAGGAAATGAAACACGTTGCACTTTTGAAGAGGACAAGGGCAAAGTGATGCCAGATGAGAAGTTTGTGGACAAAGCCACAGAAGACAAAGCTGAGCGACTCATGCATGAGTTGTACAAAACGAGGGGGCTGACCACATCAAATGATGATTTGGTTGTGGCCCAGCGCAAAATGATGAGGTTGCGAAAGGAAAATCAGGAGGACAATGGAGAAGAGGAGGATGAGGACAAAGCCATTGCCCTTGCAGAGGAAGATTCCGACGAAGGACCAAGACGTGGTCGCGGCAAAAGACGAGGCAAAGGAAGAGGCAAAGGACGAGGACGTCGATGCAGCAAAATTGACACAGAAGCACCAGAGGAGGAAGAACCAGCGAGCTCAAGTAAAGCTGCAGGGAACAAGAAGAAACGAGAACAAGAAGCACCCCAAAAGGCAGTGAAGAAGACCAGAGTGCCCAAGACAGATGTTGCAGAGGCCGAAGGATTGGAGGATCAGGAGATGGATGAGGACCAAGAGGAAAGCACCAAGCCAAAGAGAAAGAAGCACAAGCCTGGAGATGGTGAGGATCGCAAAGAGGAGAAGCCAGCAAAGGCAAGCAAGAAGCGAGAAGCTCCAAGAGAGGATGAGCCAGTGGAGAAGAAGTCGGATAGCAAGAAGAGATCCAAGAAGGATGAAAGTGAGGCTGAAAGCTATGAGAACTTTGGGGACAAACCACAGAATGACTTCGAGTCCCCCCCGAAGATGAAGGGCTCGGAGAAGGAAAAGTTGAAAAGCAGCCCGTTCAAGCTGGCCAGCAAGGCATCAAAACGTGCCATGGCTGAGGCTTCGAAGAATGACAATGGAAAGAAGGAGAAGGGAAAGAAGGACAAGGGAAAGAATGACAAAGTTAAGAGGCAACTGTTCCCGGGGACCGAGGTGGAAAGCACAAGAGCAGAAGCTGGCAGTCCCGAACGCAAGAAAAGTAAGGAAGAGAAACTGAAAGATGTCATGGAAACTATGTTGCAAGTAAGATGGGTGTGGGGACAAGGAGAATAAAATAATATATAGTTTTTGGCTGTTTTGGGTCAAAGTACTTGAGCCAAAATTGGCATATGTCACCCCTTCATCACTACTGCCCTGCCAAGAAATGACCACTGTTCACCAAATACCTGCCAAACACAAAAATAACAATGATCATAGAGTAGCATAGGGACCCTCGGATGTCGTAAGTACCTACTTGTGATACCTACTAATCAATATTATGTTTTATTTTTATGCTTTGGTAACTGACAAGTCTTGGTCCAACATTTATTACTGTGTTTTGGATACCTGAAGCCTCGTCTCAGGAGGATTCCTTGCGCAAGGTTGCTACCCTTGCAAAGAAGGACTCTGATATGGAGCTCCCGGAGTATGTGGCCAGTGCCATTGAATCTCTTTCCAGTGATGGGGAAATGAAGTTGGATCGAAAGCGATGACCCCAGTTTAATGAAAACAAACAGTCCAGCAATCAAGAAAATGCTTTGATGGCTTTATAGCAAAATAGAAGCGATTGGGGTATGTGCATTAAGCCATGTGAACCCACAAGGTCCTTCACGCTACCACCACCAGTTCTTCTTTGTCCAGACGAAGATCCCTTCATTTTGCGAAGTTCAATTGGTGTGTTGTTGGGCCCCTAGAACTCTGCCAATACAATTATGATGTATGATGTTGGCCAAAAAATCAAAACCTAGGGGATGGTATGGTTTATTTGTTATCATCTTTGTTTATTTTTTATTATTACTCGTTTGAGGGCACACAATTTTGAACCACATCTCGTACAATGCATTTATCCCTCTGATGATCCCATCCAACCCTGTCCTTCTCGCTACAGGTTTAACACTGCCAGCTTCTTTGTGTCTCCTGTCGTGGCGAGTCGTGTTCAGCGGGCCAACACCGACCATGGGTTGACTATCAGTGTTACTTGGTGGGTTTCGCAATAGATTGCCCAAACACACGTGAAAAAGTAAAAACATGTTCGGGGATGGTTTGTCTCTTTAGCCCAGGCAACGCTGACCAGAGGCGTTTCAGTGGGATGGAAGAAATTTGGCGGTATCGATGCCGCGTGCTGGACTTACAAAGACAAATTTTGCTATCGAACACAAGTTTGGTGTCCTCAAATCATTAGCCATTTGCATACGTGCACATGTTTGTAAACTGGTGTTTTGAGGTTGGAATTTCAAATCGATGGTTTGGATACATTTGAATAAGATATTAATTGTGGGACTAGATCTGGGTTGCACCACTTGGCTGCTCAGGTGGAAGCTCAGCAAACAACTTGCTGGCTGGGAGAAGCCTGATTTGAATGATGAATCTCCAGCCCGATCTGCTTGAAAGTCAAAAGCTTCGGGGCTTTTCCAGCCAGAACATTTTGGCAAAGGTATCTATGGATGGACTGGTCGCTTTCTGAAATGAAACGATGGAATTCCCAAGGCACACCTGATTGAACATACTTCTGGTTGAAACACTATTTCAAATCAATTGTTTTGATTAACTAATTCTACTTGTCACAAAATTGATGAAATGTGTGTTGTTTTTCGAAGGTGTTTGCCAAAGAGTTCCTTGGGAGCCAGTCGAGTTTGTGCGGGGAATATCACCTAGTTAGTGCGTGCGACTCAACACGCAGTCTGGGTGTGGGGCTTCAGTAGGAAAATTGCACCAGTAGATTGCACATTGATTTCACAAGGGCGATTGCCAGTATTGAACCAAAAATTACAGTAAATCCCAAGATAATAGCATAATAATGGTGATTGGTTTAAGCTGGGAATCGGCCATGTCGAGTCTTGTAGCAGCGAGAAGCTACAGCAATACGATGTCATATTTGAAGCAACACTGACCTGTAGATAAGACATAATCTATGTGCATCTCCAGAGCCCCTTCTTCATCAGCTTCAAAGTGTGTTGGTGCCCTTTGATTGGCTTCGCACCATGCGGCGCCAACAACCTTACCAACCAGAGTCCCCCCTGTCCTTGAGCCAGTCTGCAGCCCGCATGATGACATACCTGGCTATGCCGCTGGTGTTGCCCCCAAGCTAAATTGGATTGGTGCGCAGTCGAAACCTCTTTACTCAAGGATCTTTTCCATGATGTTCGATATCTTGTTGGAAAAATGGGGGTACATGGAAAGTTCTCTACTTGATTCTAATGATATATGATATTTTTTTGGGCACCAGAATCCCCATAACCCAAGCCTTTGAATTCATCTGAGTTTACATTGCATCGACTACGTGGCAGAGAGGACGACATTTATGGGCCAGATGGAGCGTGTCATCCACTTAGATGTTTTTTTCTGTCCCACTTTGCCCCACTTTGCATGGTAGTTTTGGTCCGTAATCATCCTAACCCGAACAAGCCCTACGATCAAGGATTTGGACAATTGCGATCTCTTTGGTGGTCAAGGTGCAATTCAGACGGCCTTCCGCTCGAAGCTCAAAAGTAAATTCAGCAAAACACTGGCCAGAATTGTGTTGAACTTTATTTGCTTTACACTTGCTAGATTACACTGGGATTACAATCCCAGATTTGGACCGTTTAATCATCAATGTGAAAGTTAGGTGGGAGTGCTATCCAAATGTGGGAAACGTGAAAACCCCATCAGCATATCATGACCAAACTAAGTCTCCGATGGACATCGCTCGTGTGGGGCCTAAGCCTAATGGTGAGCCTGTCTGGTTGGTGATGGCGATGTCAATGCAATGCCTTCTAGTGAAATATCAATATGTTGTATCAACCGGTTGTGAACGAAACACCACCCAGGAGAGGATTTGATGTGGCCACCCATGGGCCAGATGGAGACATATCTTCGGTGTGCCATGGTTTGGTTTGGTTCTGTTGTCATGATGACTATGACAAGATTTTATGGATATCAGGTGTTCCAAAAGTTTGAGGAGTTTAGAATATGTCTATTAGGATCATGTCAACATTATTATACTACTACATTTGGGCTATTTTGATGGTGTGCCTATTTGGGGCTCCCAGCTGATCAAATATATAATAAACATATGACATATGATATGCCAACAAAAATAACAATGCCTGCAAACATGTGTTCGCCGTTGCCCTTAAGGAGTGGGTTTCTTCACGCGATTCAGTTGGTACTCAAATTGCGAGAGGGTGCTTTAGTCACCGCAGGCCCTCCTTGCGGGAGTTTTGTATTTTTGAATATGGGAACGTCCAAGCGATCAAAATGCAGACCTTTGGGTGGTCGCCTGCCTTATGTGAAGAAAGCCAATTTGCCACTTAGCGAAAAACAAATTGTCCTTTAAAATATGGTGGTGTTGTCTTGACCAATAGAGCACCCTACCCCCACAGTGCCCAAACGCCTGCCAAGGATCACCTGCCGTCTGTGTCTTCTACTGGTCCTAGCGACCATTCGAGGAGCAGTGTTTTTGGTGGAGCAGCCATCCCAAACACTTATGATGGAATTCCCTTATTTCAGATGGATGGCATCTGTGTTTGGGAGACTGGTGACATGGCAAGTGCACCGTTTGTTACTAGCCTTAACTGGTACTTTGGTTCAAGTTACAATAGTTTTAATGTGCATATGCTACATGTGGCTTGTACCTTCTGGGGATTGACTGTCCATGTTGAAACAACCGAACTGAGTTTCATGGGGAGCTATGGGCATCCATATTTGAAGCCAACTGTGGCTTTTGGAACAGCGTCTGGGTCTTACTTATATTTTTTATATTCCACTGGCCACTGGCATGTGCACTTATTGCTGCCCTTTGCATATGGGGGTCCCTTCTAATCCTAAGACCCTTCTTGCCATTCCAAGTCCATGGGCCATCAAAATGAAGAAGAAGCTCACGAAGAAAGTCCGAAAGAGGGCTAAGCGCAACTCGAAAAAGCGAGCCATGGTGCGCAAATACAAGAACCGTCGTGGTGAAAGCAAAGTGTGCTTAGCTTATGAGTGTTTTGGACATATGTCGTCTCAAGTTTGTTGAATAGTACACATGCATGATCATGTGCATGTATACCATGTATATACATATGGTATCCCAAAAATACAGCTCAGGTGTGGGACAGCAAACCTAAGATCCTCCCAAGTATATCCACTTGGGTATGGAGAAGCACTGGTGAAGAACCACCAAAATTGGAGCGTATCTCGGATTGACCTGATAATTTACTTATTAGAAGTGGTAGGTACACATTTCAAAAGCTGTTTGAAGGTATTGGTGGCTACTCCATTTATTTCCCAGGTTAGCGCCAACAATGTGCTGGCGTTCAAACACAAGGTGTACAGTCTGCTGGCTGGTGCAAAGCCTGCTGAGGCGGTTCCCCTTCATTTGAATGGGATACAATGGGAATTCTTCAGAGTTCGTTGGTGAAACAAGCATGGAAACAAATTCTACTACTTCAAGGGGGGGCATGACTACACAGCGTGAATTCTGTGCCAGTAGTTTGGGAAAATAGACTATATGAAATCATATTCTCCTTCAGTGTTTTATCTCCAATGCTTGGTATGCCCTGCTGTTGTTGCAAGGCGCCCTACCGGTTTCGGCATGCAGCCCTGACGGAACTGAGGGACTTTTTAGTAGCTGAGAAGAAAGCGGGCCGATTTCACCCACTTTTTTTGGGGGGCCTCGAATGAAAGGCCTTTCCATGATGCGTTGCAATATCAACGCATGTCGGTAGTGGAAAATTCATATGATGCAATGGTGCGTAGGAACCATGCTATTGGGGATGACATACGAGAAAAATGATGTCAAAAAACACCGTGATTTAGCCGTGACAGATGCGTGACTAAACCGTGAAAGACCATTTTTAACCGTGAAAGTCCATTTTTAACCGTGAAAGACTTTAACCATAATTTGCCCCAAAAAACACTGAAAAGATCCTGAAAATATATAGCATCATTATGAGCTGAGTTTTTTCTTGTTGAGGCCATTGCATCCTGAACCATCTTGATTTTAATCTGTTGAAGCCATTTGGTCGGATCCAGGTGCTGAGGCTACTTCTTTTCGGGTGGGTGCTTAGGAGAAAATGGGATCTCCAGATCCAGTCAAGGAGGCCCTTGAAAAAGCGGCTGCCAGAGCAGCCCGGGTAGCGGTCCTTGATGCTGCTGGTCAAGAGCCTTCACCCAGTGATCTTCGCGCCCGCTGTGCCAGGCTGCGCATGTGGCAGGGTGTTTTTTTAGAAACCACACTGGTAACAAGTGACTTCAATCAAAAAAATGCCAAGGATATCGAAAAGGTCCAGGTCACATGTTACAAGTATTCATTTAGATGGTGCTTAGGGGTGGAAGACTGGTTTCAGATCCTGTAACCTGCACGTTACCAAAAGGCCTTGAAATCGCAATCTAGAACATGGTCTTTGCACACTTTTGTGATGAAACCTTGTTGATGGACTTTAACCAAGAGGTGGGGTTACTTGGTTGATAAGACCTATCCTAATGAATGGACCCCTGATTGCTACCACTGGGTATTGCAGGATGGGTCCCAAGAGGTGATCTATGAAAAGCGATAAAACAAATCATAGAAATGATCCTGACTAATCCTGATGATCAACTCACCGGCTCCCTCTGCCAGGAAAGATCAAAAAGCTGTGCAGAAAAAAATGAAGAAAGCCGCAGGACCCAAAGGACCCAAAGGCAAATGGGCGAGATGGCTGGACCCTTTCCCCGTGTGGATTCATCTCCCATCCATAATACAGCTCACCCAGAAAAAAATGACATGTCGATCATTTGTTTACCCATACTTTACCGCCTGATGAAGCGATACATTCATCCAAATTCAGATGCACCATAGTGTTATTCTTGTCCCTCAGGTTCTTGTATTTCTTATCCTATGATAATGAAACCTGCTAAGCACAAGTAAACCATCTTCAAACCAATCATGTGGGGATTAATGTGGCATAAACTATCCCAAAAAGAGGTTTGCCAACCACTTATTTTCGAACATGTTATTGGTGATCATGATAGTTTATTTGTGAATTTACTGCTTTAGCATTAAACACCTTGTGCCCACAGAGTGAGCTGATGCTTGCTAGCAAAAAAGCGTTCGCAGGTCATGCTTCGGATGATGATGATGATGAATCAACTGTTGCTGCAGCATCAGAGGATGCACGTGCGATGGCAGTTGCAAATGTGGCACTCAAGACACCAGAGCAGCACACTAGAAAGCTTCCTAGGCACAGTCTGTCCAGCCAACCCAAACTGGACAGGTCGATGCAAAGCAAACGTGTGTTGGTACCCACTGAAGTTGACGAAGAAGAGAAACCCAAGGGTGCAAAACAGCTCAAGAGGGCAGCCCCGCTAGCACTAGAGGATCAGAAAGTTGACAAAAAGGAAACCGCAAAGAAAGCTACTGCAGTGAAAGCAAAAGCTTCCAAGCCTGAGGTGTCAGGTGGTTCTTCCCAACAGGGCAACAGCACGACCAAACCAATGGCACTTGAGAATCAGCCCACACCAGGTCAGGCAAGTAAGTCAACTCTGCCCCCTGCAAAACTTGAGCGATGCAAGTCTAATGTGAGCAATGATGGCAATGGTGTGGCATCAGCCGTAGATGCATGCCTCAACCGACAAGACACAGCCAACTTGAACAAAACCGGAAAAGGCATAGCCAAAGCAGCAGCAGCAGCAGCAGACCCAGACCCGTCTGAACCTGACTCAAGCAGCAGTGAAAATGAAAGCGAGGATGGAGAGAACCCACAAGACGAGCAGGACCTTGAAAAGGTTTTGAAGCAGAAAGAAAGTCGCGCCAGGTATATGAGGTTTTACCGCTCTCTGAGAAGTACTTTGGATCTGCTTTCGAACCCTGCTAAGCTTGTCCTCTGTTTGAAGTCTTGGTTTACTATAGGGTTCCTCCTATGTATTTCCCTGGGTTCAACAGGTGTATTACACATATAGGTTTGTTTGATGCTGCCTACTAAGGCAAGAGAACTCCCCTCGAGGTCAGACGGGCAGGGGCTGCGGCGTACAGGCAGAGTGACCGTTTGCAAGTACTGCTCGAGCAGTGGCTTGCATGCAGTGGCCAATGGAAGGCTTCAGAATTCTACTACCAAGCACGACAGAAAAAGCGCTCTAGAAGGCATGGCTGTAGAAAGTGGTTGACACGTTCTGAAATAGCTACAAAGTATGGAAGCTTTGACACAGCTGATAGTATCATCGCCCAGAAGATGCGGGACCCGGAGATCAGCAAAGACCAGATAAGATGCCATCCCGACATGCACGGGCAGGAGACCGATGAGCCTAGACTTTGTTTATACAGAATGCCATGTCTGGCTACAAATTAAGGTCATCTATTGGAACATACAATTGCTCCTTTTGAGTAGTAGTGACACCAAAATACAGTATCTTGGAAGGAACCCTTGACCTACAGCTAGATCCACCTGTTTTCACAGCCTCAGAACCCTTTCCAAAATTCCATTCCTTCCATTCCTGAATCTACAGTAAATGTCAAGGTGTTCATCTTTGCACTAAGGACACTCGCCAATACCTGGTGTGGGATCAGGATGGTGAAGAAGAAACGACTGATCTTGTCACCCAGGCTTTGTTCCAGGCAGCAGATACTGATGAAAATGACAAGAAGCCAGGCGTTGGTCAGGCTAGAAAGAAACAGAGCAAGAAGAAGCAGGACAAGGCCAAGAAGAAGAGCCGCAAGAATAAGAAGTCCAGCAAGAAGAGAAAGGCAAAGTCCACCAGTGATTCTGAGTCCGATGAGTCCAGCAAGTCCAGCAGTTCGTCTTCGTCTTCAGAGAAAAGCAGTGAAAGCTCTGAGGCCACACAAGACTTAGCAAAAGACTTACCACAAGACTTAGCACAAGACTTAGCACACACATGCATGCACATGTACTTGTGTGAAAACATCTCTAGTCCATTGTCTTGCATGTTGTTGCTCAGCCTTCTGTAACATCCGGTGAATTTGAAGCCCCGACCAGCTCATTCTCACGAGCTTCTGTGGACCCCAGCCTTTGAAGCAACAAAACCATTCAAGAGCTTTATATGGGCTAGTTAGTTCATGTTTTTTTTATGTTTTGGACATCGGCTACCATTGGTCTGTTTCTCTGATTCCCTGTCTGGAGGATTCCAGTGCCAAGCCGAAAAGAAAGGGGAAGAAGCAACCCAAGACCGAGAAGAACAAGAAGCTTGGACAGAACAAGAAGTCCAAGGACCCCAAGGATCAAACCGAGGAGGACAAAGAGAAAGCAAGGAAGAAGCAAGAGGAGATTGAACGTAAAGCAGAGGAGAAAAGAGTCACAGATGCACACAAGAAGGAATGTCGAAAGGGTGAACAGGTGCCGTGCATATCTCTTTGTGTGGCGTTCCAGATACATCTTTGTTTGTGCAAACTCATTCGTGATTAGAAGCTAAAAATATTAGTTTGTTTGACTACCTGCTATATGATATTATATATTATATATATACGCATCGAATGAATGGGATAATGGATTACAGTGTTTTAAATTGTGGGAGATGGGTTCAATCCTTGAGGCCATCGACAAGCTGACCATCGCGATTCACAAAACCACCAGCCTGCAGGGTGGAAAGCTTTCCAGCATGCTACAGCCTCAGCGTGGATTGCATAGCCACAGGGGGTGGTGTTTGGATGCACACCCCAAGCGGCAATTAATTACAATATACATAAGAATAAACACATGTATGATTGGGATTAAAACTGGGATATGTATATTCACCCAAATGGCCCCACTGGGAAAATCCCATGTAATCCCATGTCCACATTATGTTTTCCTATTTGCATAGCAAAAGAAGTGAACATCCAAAAAGGAATTGGAAACCCCTTTGGGATACGCTTATATATGAGGCCAGACTTAGGGCCCACATGTACTTGTGCGACCCCATGAGTTCCAACGATTACATATGGTTTTTGTTTGACATATGGTTTCTGTTTGAAACAATAAAAGTTGGTAATCTTACAAACCACTACTATGGGTCCCATATCCTGTCATGTTGATCACCAGCAATTTATTTAAAACATAGATGGTCCATAAGCTCATAAGTGCATCCTGCTTAGGAGTCAGGCGGTGCAAGATGCTATCTTCCAGGAGATGAAGCCCCAGGCAAAGGTCTTGAAATCTACCAGGACCGATCTTCAATCACGAATTGATTCCTCGCAGGCAGGGTTGCCTGCCACAAATGAAATAGAGCATGTGCCAAAACATATAATTCAGGGGACCTGACTTGGTTATAAAATCATCTGGTCTGAATACAAGTTTTAGTTTGAAATATTTTGGGTGGATAACATTGCAACACGCACCCCAAATTTTAGTACATACCTGATGCACAGTTTACGAACAGAAAAGCCCATCAGTCCATTAGTTGATTCAATGGTTTACCAGCCTCTGCTGTTCAGGCAGGTGGTCTTGATGATCTGACTGATGGCATTGCTACGGCTCAGCGAGTCTTGAAGGATTTCGGAACTTTCTTGAAGTCTTACAATTTGAAATGATAGTGTCTGGCCGTGGGGAATGGCATGTGTGCCTTAGAACTCCACAATCTGGGCCATGGACGAGTTGCTGTCTGCACCATTTCGCTCTCCTTTCCACGGGGAATGGCATGTCACATCTTGTTTAAACTAAAAAGGACCCATAGTAGATAGCACACTTGTGTGAGAAACTTTGTTCTGCTTTAAAATGTATCTTCAAAGTTTGGGGTGAAGGTGATCCAGTTCCCCTTCGATAAGTGAAGTGGACGGGCTTCTGTGCGACAGACATGTTTCCAAGCTGTACGAAATTCATCCATGTCAGTGATGAAGAACCTGTGTGACCTCCACACGGGCCATGAACAAACTCTTGGGGATCTGTGAGTAAAAAAAGAAACATTGGATGGATGACCCTGGTTGCTTACCAAAATGTGTACTGGAACTCCTCCACTAAGGGAACCCATATGGATAGATGATGATAGATCGATCTATATTCATCCAGGTTTTACAACAGTAGTAGGGGGATACTTAGTAAGCTTATATTATATAAAGGTACAGGGATACTCAGGTTGATTGATGGCAAACAAAATCCAATTCCCACTTACTTGCACCACCGCTCGCAGGTGATTCCAAACCAGTCGCTTTGTTTGGCCACTATGATGATGTCGCGGCCGGAGCTGCTTGACAGGACTTTTGGTCGATGAGAAACATGTTATATCCCCACCCAACATGTTTGCAAATGGAATCCCAAACATGTCATGTCGATGAACCATGATTGTTGAACACCACCCACACCCCCAAATCCAAATTTCCCAGTCCTCACTCTCTGAGGCTACTTCAACCCACAAGGTGATGCGAAGAGTCCGAGAGCAAGTCCAAGAGCCTTTGTGTTCCACACATGCGCAGGATGGGCAAGGGTGCTGATAGCAAGTAGTGTATGGCATAGTATGGGTTATATAGTTATATGGTTATACCCATCTTGAAGTTCATGACAGGGATAATGGAAGGGTGTACTCAACCTGGATAGCTCCTTTGTTCCCCAAGAAGGTGTTTCATTTTTTCATACATAGGGGAAACATGGGATACTTGTTCGATTTCAGCATGCCCATTGCAGGTTATATTTTACTGTATGGTCCTCTCAAATCCTTCACAGTAGGTTAGCCAAGGCATATGAAAGGGAATTTCAATCAACCAGTTTTTAATGGTATTGATGGGTAATAATATTCGAAAAATATGCGAACGTTTGGCCAATGCCAGTGGCTTTATGCTAGTGGTGCATAATAAGAAAGTTGGTTGCAAGAAACTTATAGTGTGCACCCTCCCTTTGCTATTCTGTGCCCTTCCAAGGAAAGCGGTACTGCTCATGAGGAAACTTCCATTTTGGCTTCCAGGTCTGGAAAAAACGACAGTCGAGATTTCTGGAAGTTCACTGACATACCGGTAGTACCTTGGCTCTTTAAAACTTGTTCCTAAGGCCTAATGCAACATGATTGCGCCTGATCCCTTTTTATACAATAATATACCCAAGAAGTGTAGCCTAAAAAGTTGCAGGACATGTCATAAAATCATTAGCTACCGAGGGCCCTCCTATTCTATTTTGGATGCTATGTAGACGATTTTAGCCATAAGTTTCCTCAAGGACAGTTTTGCTACATTCCCCAAGAAATAATTGCCATCAGTTTTGGTTTGGTCAAAGCATGTCCCAAATCACAAATAATGTTGGCATTTGGCAAATGTGTTTCTTACAACTTGGGAAAACATAACCAAGGAGATTGAAACTATTCGGCTACCTGTGAAGGATCCCAAATCAGAGCGTGGTGTAAGCATGGACAATTTTCCCATCATATACCCACACCGAGTGTTGACATATCTCTTTGACCATGTCGGTCTTGATATACCAGATGAAGATGTTCAAGCCTACTGGAAGCACGCACGGCAAGTTGGTGAGCCGTGGGCTGTGGGGAACCCTTCCAGTGATCACCATGTTCCAGTCGGATTGCACGGAGACGCAGCACGGCTTTGGACTGTCCACCAGTTTGAGAAACATGTAGGTGTCTTTATGAATCTGGTATTGTGGCGTCCGAGATCAATTCGTCACTCAAGATTCCTTATCTTCTCAATCCCACAGGAGAAAGTGTGGAAAAATCGAACTTTCAATCGTGTATGGGAGAGGCTGGCTTGGAGTTTCAATGCCTGCTGGGAAGGCTTCAATCCTTGTCAAGGTCCGAGAGGTATCCCTTTGAGAGGAAAACACTTGGAGCGTGCTGGTTTGCCAATCACAAAAGGTGGACATAAATTCACAATTACTGAGTATCGTGGGGACTGGGAGTGGCATTGCCACACTTGGCGCCCCCGGGCCAGCTGGCAGGGTGTGAGCATGTGCATGAAATGCCCAGCCCAGTCTCGAGGAGATGCTGGACTTCTCTACTACAATTTGGGGAGCTGTGTTGAGGACGGATGTAGGTGGGTACAGGAAGAGTATTCACTTGCTGGTTTTATTGCCAAGAGCCTGAAAGACAGAAACTTGTGTGGCTTGCCAGTAGCCTTTCATCATATTTTTTGTGTTTGCTGAAGACTTTTTTTCAAATCATATGCCATACCCAATCTTACTGAGTCTTACTGAGAAGCAAGAAAGTCAGTTAATTCACCTGTGATATTGTCCAGTGATCTTTTCTTTGGGCCAGAAAGCATTTAAACAGTCAACCCAGAATTCCCCATGGGAAGCTTCAAAGGAACCAAAAACCGTTTTCAAACATGTGGGATATATTGTATCGCGGCTATGTATCCACGGACCAAATGGCAACATATGGCATGATAGAAAAAGTGATCCCAAGCAATGTAGCAATGTTTCTCTGGGCTTTAGCAAGGGTTTGTTTGTTGACCACTGTAATTACCTGCATTACCCTTGGGAATGTTGCAAGCCCTGCCAAGGTCCTCTACTTCAAATCTACGGGTTCCATCCCGGGTGCATACGCTGGTGCACAATGCATGCCTTAAATCTAGGCATTCTCTTCACCGTCAATGGTGGGGGTCTGAAACTTGTCCCTTCTGTACCCGGGTGGAAGTTTTGATAAAAATAATGACTATACACCAGAAATCAATTGCATATCTACTATCAGCTAGTGATTCTCAATAGGGTTTAGGGGTCCTATTTAAATCAATGTGTAACTCATCCGCACTCTGCCCCCGTAGCTGGGTACCCGAACAGAAATCGAAGGAACTTGAGCTTCACCACTAGCTTGCCAGGCTGATCTTTAACTTGCTGATCAGTATTATTTTGTGTGGAAGTTAGCTTTTTTTTTTGTGGCCGTAATTCCCTACAGCAAGTTGAAGATCAGCCTGGCAAGCATGCTTTCTCCCAACCTCCTGGCTGGGGCAGGGGTGCAAGAACATGTGCCGGACTGAGGATGCTTTTGATGGATCTTCTGTACTTCGGGCCAAGAACCTTTGAGGAGCAGCTGGATACTGCCTACAAGAGTTTCGTGGGGTTTTGCCGCCAACACAAAATCCATCATTCCCAGCCACCCTTCACTAGGAGAAGTGTGACTTGGTGGTTAGACTTATGCCAGTTTTTGGTCATCACCTAGCCATATAATTGTAATAATTATATAATCTTGGACATATAGTCCAAGCTAGAAGAAAACTCATACCTATTTGATCTGGTTTGAACATGCTTTGTGCCTTAGCGGGGCATAGACATGTCCAGCAGTGTTTGAAATTCAGCCCGCCACTGTCAGGTGCTACGCAAAACTGGTGAAGTTGGATTGGTCGCAAAGGCTTGGAATGGCCGATGTGTTCTCAGATGGCTGTCCCACTGCTTGCAAGATGCTTTGGTATCCAATGGGGACAATGACTGTTTAGTGCTGACCACTGCCGCTACGACCCTTGTTTGAATCTATTGGCCCCAACTGACCTTGTCTTGGGGGGGTATGGGGTCCTCATTATCATTATACTCAAATGGTTTTGTTTTTGTTGGAGAAAATTAGGCTAAAGTTTTCCACGACTACTTTGGTTTGGAACAAGATGACAAAAAATATATGATTTCTTGTGGCTTGGGATGAAATGTTTATGGCCCTTGCCCCCATTTCCTTCCCTGTCTTCTGCTCCTCAAGGAGTTCGCTGGCGCACTTCTTCAGCTTGATGGAATCCAGTCCACGGGTGCTGATGCATGGCTTAACCGAGAAGGCCCTACTTGATGTGGAATTGATTACAGTATTTATAAACTGATAAACCCAAAACAGGCACCTAACTTTAGATGTGAATTTATGAAGATTCTTTTGAACAACACCATATAAAATCATTGTTGGGTTTACCACGTTCTCTATTAGATATCGTTGTATCATTGTGAGATTGCAGTCTTAAAGTAGACAGGAATATCTTGGTTTTGTTCTCTGATATACCCCAGAATTCAAATCCCATTCTATAAATATGGCGTTTGCAGCGACCTGTTCACATTGAGATGCCAATCCCTTGAGGAAACCAGCTAGAAGGATACTGAAAAAAACATATCACGCCCAATGGTTGGACAACATTAATTAATATGTTTTTTTTTGTGACCATCTCAGGACTCCTCAAGTGGCAGCAAAGATGTTCAACCTTGGCATGAAGTTCCTCAAATTGTACAAAGCGCTTTGCATCCTACATGTGAGGCAAGGTCTGTGCATGAGAAAACACACAAACTCCACTTCATATGGACATGCATTTCAAAGCTCTTGGTTTGACAGGGATAATCAACCCCGCTGGCTCATGAAGCCAAAGGCCCATGCTTCTTGTCTACAAAAAAATGAGCCATCGGAAAAAAACGAAACAAACTACTTCGATCAGGATATTGGTTAAGGGTGTTAGATTCTTACTTACTTTTGTTTCAACAAGGTTCTGGCTCATGTGTGCCATGATCTTCGCCGCTACAGTGCCTTGGCGTGTGTGTGTGTGTGCATGTGCATGTGCGTGCGTGCGCTCTGTTGATTTGTGGTGCATCTTTTGAATGTAAAACAAGATATGAGAGCTTGTTGGTCGCCAATAAGGATCCAATCCACGCTACTGGCATACATTCTGGGACGAGGATGCAATGAAATGGATGAAAGGTGACTAGCAGAGCAATTAACAATACGCACCAGCTTGATGTGCTTCTAAAATTGTATGTTGCAGTGCCCTCTTTGTTTGAGAAAACAAAATGTTCACTCACACTCAGGTATAGCAGCTAGAGCTCACCCAAGAAAAAGAATGGTGTGGCTTTTGAAATGTGCCAAGCTAAGGCCAGGCACCTGCTAAACATGTTTGACAGGTCTGCAAGCCTGCTAGGGTGCCAGTGTAAAGACTTGCCACACTTCTATGTTGGGGTTACTGGATGTTGTTTGCGAGGTTGCTATCCATGAAACACCGCGTCCGCAAGTTTCTCATCTGCAGTGTGTGTGTGTGTATGTGTGCATGTGTTTGTATGCCTGGGTGTGGATTCTTTCACCTAGGATATGTCTAGTTTAGTGCAGTGAGAAACCGTGCTTATCAATTGTCATGTCATGTAATGTATATGGTGGAAAAGGGATTGGCTGAATTTGCCCTAAGGTTGAACAAGAGCGCAAGACGTTAGCGGCAAAAAGCAATTGTTTGCTGGGCATTGGGTTGTGAAAGGGCGTGATTGAGCGTGATTACGAAAGACCATTAGTGTTGAGGATGAAATGGTCTTTGTTGCAAACGCCATTTTTAAAATGGTCTTTGGAATCCTAGGGTATATATATATATAGATATAGCTCCTTCAACGGAACAAACTCATGAAAGATACAACAACCATGCAGACATATTGTCCAAAAATTGGATATCTCCCCAGGGTTAGGGTACAACCAGCAGACCAGCGGCAAACAAAAATGGCCTTGCTCTGCAGGTCAGGCGTAACTTGTTCCACCGCTACGAAGGTTGGTAAAAACCTGCTGGATGTTCACTGCCGTGGGCTGCGAACTTGGTAAAAACCATGAGATCAGCGAGTGGAAGATGCTCTGAAGGATTGTTTCCGATGGAACATGTTAAAGATGTACATGGATTTACCAGTAAACAACCAAGAAATAGGGGATGTAATCACAGTGATGTCACATCATTTAACTAGGTAAGTTGCGAACTTAGAAAGACGATTTCCTCAAAACTACTGCTGACCCCATGAGCCTTTTGGAGGGAACCACTTCAAAGTGCAGCTCGGCTTGGATTTCCAGAGTTGTGATCCTTTACATGGTTTGCTTGAAGTTCATGTGTCCGATTCAACATGTTCCATGTTTTACCTTTTGGATTGGCTTGTCATGTGTCACTCGGACTGTGTCACCGTGCTTTGATTGCTTTTAGTTTCCATGACATTGGACCCACGTAGTCCGTCTTCCAAGCAACATCCACAGGAACATCGTACCAATCAACGAGAAGATGTCCGACCTACGCCCAAAGGTGCCGGGTTGAACGCTTCTGGAATGGGGGTTTTCTCCAGGGCCCCAAGTTTATGGCAATGTCAACGGGGAAAATATCGGAAAATGATGATATCACATGAATTATGCGTAGCCTTTGTTCAAACACTGCTTGGGTGGCAACGTTGGAGCAGGTGCTTTTGTTTGCACTGCTTGAACGGCATCGTGACATCCTAAACCCAAGAATGTCGACCCAGCCCAACAATCAACCCCACTTTGTTATGTGTTTTTTTTTACTTCACACCCAATATGTACCAAAATGGCAAAATGGTAAATGCGGATATGTATATATATATATATGTAGAGATAGATAGATATGGCTGAATTCTAACAACTCACTAACCTGAAAATAGCTAAAACAATAGCTATGCTTCGTCCAGATATTTCTGTTGCATCTGTGGTTCTATGTCTTCACAGCTTGGGGTTGATCATCCTCGGGTCGTCTCAGGTCTCGGCTGGTAGGAGCTACATTTCAATCTATCCTGGCTACCATCATCCCACAGACACTGCAGAACTGGAATCCCCAGTTTGGCTATGGGGGGAGCACGGAATGCATGGTAGACATATACTAATGAACAAACAAATAATGGTCAAAGAACTTCACAATTGCATATATTCAATACCATTGAATGACCATTAAATGGATCGTTTAGAGAGCCACAAATTGTTGGTTACTAAATATTCCTCTTCTGGGTTTGTTCATAACCCCCAAATAGACCAGTGAATGTGGGAAACCCGATAATGAACGTGATCATGACTTAATAATAGGATAACTATAACATAGCCCGTGATTTTCATGATTACAACTTTATTACATAAACCATCAATAACCATCCAGAATGATGACTTGGGGATGGTTTATGACATTTTATGACATGCTTATGGGTCAAAACCCTGGTACCCATTGGTACCTAGGTAGCCTAGGTAGCCTCAGTCATAATAGCTGGTTAATGGATAGTTATGCCCCAAAATCCTCCAAACAACCAGGACTTGGCGTCCTTCACAGCTGGCCCCAGCACTGTAGCAGCCGCCAAGCCGAAATAGGCCCCAAAGACCTGGGTAGTCGGAAACAATCGGAGAAATTCAACTGGAAAACGTGGAAAAAACGTGGAAAACCATGGATTACTTGGATAACATTTGGAAAAAAGCGGGAAACATCGGGGGAAACCGTGGAAAACAAATGGAAAAACATTGAAAACATTCTGGGCAGCAACTGGAAAAACAAGGAAATTGATGGAAACAAAACATGTTTTTGCCAACAAGAATGAACAAACACCTTGGAGATGTTTTTTTCTTGATTCTTAGCATTGAATCACTGAATCAATAATGCTGGCAGCTTAAACCAAGGATATTTTGAACAATATGTTGTGCAATATGTGGATTATGCATGATTACGCTCTATTCAACCAAAATTCAATAGTACTACATATATATGGACCTAATTTGACACTAGCCTAATAGCCGTAACACTGAGCACGATCTAGAGCACGATTTTTGGCACGAGGGAGAGCACGATTTCAGAAAAACATGCGCGAAGGAAAACAGCCAAGACAAAGCTTGCCCAAATATCAAGAAATCCCTTTTTTGACTACAGCTATTTGGATGGGTGTGATCTAATATATATATATATACAGTATATATATATATATGCTTGGGTGGTTTCAACCCCTCTGAAAAATATTAGTCAGTTGGGATGAGTATTCCCATATATGGAAAAAATGTTCCAAACCACCAACCATCTATATAATATATATATATATATACAACGGTTATATCTAGCTGCCCCAAGGCTGCGGCATGGACCACGATGGTGCTACCTCCATCGCGGACATGTTTTGAGGTGTCCTCAGCTTGGGCTTGGCTCAGAAAATCTGGGGAAAATCAACCAAATTTGGTGTTTGATTATCATGATTCCATATTTTTTCCTACAGTTTTGGTGGTTCTTCATCATTTTGTCCATCATCATTTGTTTCTCATTTTAATCGCAAATTTTGGAGTATACCCCATTGTTTTGGACAAACCCAAGTCAATTTATATGTGCGACAGATACATGCCATTTTAATTGTATCGTCCCATTACATGCCCCTACAATAATCTACCAATTTGGATCAATTTGGTACTTTTTCGGCACTGGCCAGGTTGGTATGGCTCAGACAAGTGCACCTACATCGATTCTTCTTCTCAGTGTGTCACCATTTATATAGTTGTTGTAATGGTTACTTTTGGGGCACCAATCCCATCTTCACCTTTTTGGTGGGCGAAAACGTGCGTGGTCGCCACATCTGCCAAGTGTCAAACTGGTGAATCAGAAAGACCTCCAGGGTTTTGAATCTCTCAACAGGTTGCTTACCAAAGGTCATGAGGATTGTATTCCCTAGACCTAAGTTGTCATGGAGATTTTTAGCTCGAAGTGCCAAGGGTAGTGACACTGCAACAACGAAGCTGACAACTGAGAAGGTGGTTGTTGGTCGACCAACACAAAAATACAGAGACAAAGTGGATCCCTGCAATCGGCAGACGAAGCGGACCGTTTGAATTTTGGCTAAGTGATTGACCAAACTGTCTGAAACATGGTCAACCCGTACCAATAGCTACAGTAAGTTCCCATGTTCAAACAGGTGCCAGTCGATAGCCAACAGTCTCGGCCTTGTTGATGGTGTAGACGGGAAGCTCCAGCAACACCAACATCACGATCTGTGTGGGACTGATCCTGCCTGAGTGAACTAGACATCACTGAATCACCAGCAGCAAAAGTTCTAGGCAACACCGGCCTGGAACATTTCCAAAAATCTGCCTCTGGCGTGTGAAACTGTTCAAATAAACAATAATTACTTTGCTTCAATCACCTTGCGTGAATAAATGTTGTATGTACACTATTGTATCATCATAATATATGGCATTAGTATGATAGTAATCATTATATTATTAATCATTATTAATCATTATTAATCATAATATATCATAAATGCTGAATTCACATTTGGTATTACCTCTCACCTGCCTCACCCACATCAGCGACAGGGCACCAATCACGGCCCCGAAGGAGACAAGGACCTCAGTAGTGCCATTGAGAGATGCGCCATGAAAATCATGAAATACATGCTTATCCCATTATACTGGTTAGATATATGATCTCCATTGATATCCCTGTTATGCCCTGTTATTTTCGCTACACACCCCACTCAACCCGGGAGTTTTTTACCAAGTTTTGAGTGGTGAAATCTGGGATGTTTGGTGAAATCGCCTCTCAAAAGCTGGTGAATTCAGGAATTCCCTGGGTGGGTTTTCTATGGGTCCCAGATTCCTCCAGATTTCCTCCAGATTTCCTTAATTTCGTCCAAACTGGGATCCCCCGGGTGCCAAGGGACAGCAGCAACACCCAAGTCCGCATGCAACAGGGCGCTAGAGTCCACTTTCAGCTCCGCCTAGTGAGTCTCCAAGTCATGGGGATTTTGGTGTGGTTGAAGAATGGTTAAGCCACCCATATTCCCTACTTAAGTCATGGTTTAAGCATCAAAACAGTGGTTTTACCATCCAAAATATGGATCTGACCATCAAACACAGGGATTTTACGAGTTCATTGTGGATATGGGTCTGAAATGCGATATACAATCTATACAATATCTATACAGTATGCAAAAAAAAATGATGGCAATGTGAATCAATAGGGAAAATAATGATTCATGAGTCGATTCATGAGTGGATGGTGCGGGACCCTATTTTCAGACAAACCCAAAAATACCTAAAACATCCTAAAACAGCTACATTCACATGACAACCAAAAAAATCCTGAACGTGCGGAATGTAAATGTACTTGGGCACGCTCCAAAAGCAGGTGAAATGGGTCTGAAGTCTACTTTGTTCCCGGCGCCGGGATACCTCTTTTCAGGTCATCACCAAAAGCCCCAATTCGATCCCATCCCACGATATCCCAAGCCTTCCGTGCCAAAGATTCCAGAATCATGGACCATTGCATTCCCAGAGACGCAATCAACATCCTTGGCGGGGCGATTGCGGAATCGATACCCCGTTCGAAACATACTGCAGTGGGAGACGAATTATACGGCCTCAAAGTTTCACGGTTTTTCATCATGTTCATTCATTTTCCCCATTGAAATAGCCATATGATTGTGTTCGTTCCTCAGTAAACCCATTTCCTTTGTTCACTGGCTATGTCCGTAGGTTAGCTTTGATGGGTAGATAGCCATGAATTGCACCTTTTCAGTGGGATACCATGAGATACGCTCAAGTACTCTACGGAAAATAGCCCTTTATGTAGATGATTTGCCTTTTTTCATAGCTAAGTTCGATTACCAAAATTAAACGTTCACCCAACCATCAAGCACAAGCGAACCGAGAAACGTGAAGCCAATAGCCCCTAAGCCATAGGCCTGGCGAGCAAGGGAGGTGTCTAGAAAAAAAGCTGAGATCATGAAGCAGGTTCGTGTTTTCATGTGTTTTCACATAAAAACTGTGTTTCCAATAGATCATGAACCAATAAAACTGAGATCTTGATGCTTTTCTTTTATTGGAGCATCCAAACAAATGCAGCTCGTGTTTTCCCTGCTGACACATTGCTACAAACCTTGAGAATCTTTCAAATGCGCAGATCCTACACTTATAAAAAACGACATTTTTTTAAGACAACGACTGACGAATGTGTGCTTCAAACTTCACTGTGATTCAACACTGGCGAATCACGACCGTCTCGACCACCAATGCTTCTTGCAGTCGCACCATGATTTTTAGACAGTCGCAACTTCTCAAAGCGCTCAATTTAAGCAGTATCCAATACAACCAACTTGACATAACTTGACCATGCGAAAACTTTCGCGCTTTTGACATGCTATGTTTCTGCAGTATCCAATGAGTACCGCTTGGTTCACAGCATGGAGTGAGGGGCCACCTTCAGGAAAGCCCTGAGGTATCCGAAGCCCAGGAAGATCATCAGAGTCACACCTGAGAAAGCACCAGAAAGTTGGACATGCAGCAAGAAATGAGGATATGATATATGATGCATGATACATGATGATATGTGATATATGATGTATGATATGATAGAACCAACAAACTGTGGTGTCGCAAATCCCCATCCTGGTCGCTCAGACCAGATCCTCGTGTTTGTTAATCAAACCCTATCTTTGTCTAAACCAACCAGCAGGCTTTTCTAGAAATGGAGTTTGGTGACAACTCCCTGGAGGCAAATGTCAATCCTGATCCTGTGGGCAGTGCATTCCTGTGCAGCTGTGCGGATGTTTGGCCAACATGTTTTTCCATGTTTTGCCAACATTTTGGTGGCCAAAATTCCGCAAAAAAACATCAAACATGATTTTTCCCATTAAAAATGGTGATTTTCCATAGCTATGTTAGTTTACCAGAGGGTAAAACAAGCCACAGTCTTTCCAATGGTCGATGTCCAAGGTCTGAAAACAATCCAAGGTACCGAAATAGCGGGATGCCGTGGAGTCGTCAATGATCAGCTTCGAGTCGTCCAAGGTGCTCCGAAAGAAGATGACTAGAAAGACCTGGTCTGTGGAGAAACCTGATCCCCAGGAATTCATCATTTCTGGGGATGATGTATATATATATACTGTATATATAATCATTATTATTATACTATAAAATCATATATGGTCACTGACAGAATTATGGAAAAAAAAAACGTTCAACTTAGACAGGCGGCGCCTGCGTCCGATTTTTCCATAATTAGGTTTTTCCCCATAAGGGTTCAAAATATCCCGGAAGTGATCCGAACCTTTTTTTTTCCATAATTCTGGGAGGTGGCCATTATTTCCATAATTGATTTTTCCTGTAAAATCAGGGGGCTAGGGCAGATTGACCGGTTTTTCCATAATTTTTTTTTCCATAATTATTTTTTCCATAATTTTTTTTCCCATAATTAATGTTTGGGGCTCCATATTATGTATATCAATGGCAGGCTTTAGGGGCATATACCAGATCTTTAGACACATATTTTCTATAATTCAATATTCCCCCTTAAAATGCATTCAAATTGCGAACATCACATGATATTATGTATATCAATGGAAGACTTAGGGGCATATACCAGATCTTTAGACACATATTTTCTATAATTCAATATTCCCCCTTAAAATGCATTCAAATTGCGAACATCACATGATATTATGTATATCAATGGAAGACTTAGGGGCATATACCAGATCTTTAGACACATATTTTCTATAATTCAATATTCCCCCTTAAAATGCATTCAAATTGCGAATCGATGGACATACAGTCACCGACAGAATTATGGAAAAAAAATAATTATGGAAAACATAATTATGGAAAAAAAAGGTTCGTAACTTTTCTATCATAGACAGGCGGCGCCTGTAAATTGAAACGTGTTTTTTTCCATAATTCTGTCGGTTCCTGTAATATATAATATATAATATATATAATATATATAATATATAATATATAATATATAATATATATAATATAATATATATATATAATATATAATATATATAATATATAATATATATAATATATAATATATATAATATATTATGTTATATAATAAAATATTATATTACATTACATTACGTTATATTATATTATACTATGTTATGTTATATAATATACCATAATATTATATTATATTATATTATATGATATTATGCTATATTATATTATATTATATTATATTATATTATATTATATTATATTATATTTGTATTGTATGTGTATTGTATGTGTATTGTATTGTATTGTTTTGTATTTGTATATACATATATTCTATGTTGTAAATTATATATATATATACATTAATGGACACTTGTTTTGTATATTTCTTTGTGGGTGTGGCCATGTGATAAAGGTATTTATCAATATATCGATCGTGAAATTGACTCCCATGGAAAGCATCCAACGAGTTGCCAGCTGTGCAGCGCCAGTCCTGAACAAGGAAGATGCAGCGATGTTTTTAAAGAGTTGAACATGTGACCTAAACCTAAACCTAAACCTTTGCCCATATACCAATAGCTACAGCAATATACCAATTGCTTCCGCAAAGAATAGGAATTTTTCATGCATGGTCATGTTTTGATAAATGGCCATGGTTGTTGATAAAGCTGGAGGCTACTGGCCCGTTGCAGAACTAAGCTCACGACAGGAGGCCAAAGCTTTTCCCAGGCTTCACCCATTTCGGAAAATCCTGCCACTGGAACTCAGACCTGACCTGACCTATGGAGACCTTGTGGACTCGAGCGCGCATGCGCCTGGTTGAATATTGGATGGTCAAAAAGGTGCTGAATGACCCAGAAATCTGATTGAACTTGGTCATGCAAATTGTACTACATCGCACTAGCTCCAGCATCTGCTTGCAAGAACTCTCCTGAATTTGGAAAGCCAATATCAAAATCCTTTTCTCAAGAAAGCAAACTCTAAAAGCGGCATGTCGTGCTGACCGAAGGTTGTTGGAACTAACATGTGACTCTTCAAATTGGAGGCTATTTTCCTGCAACCCACAAGTTGGTTGAAGGTTGTTGAGTTGAATTCCCATTTTTGTGGAATTCACCACCACCAGAAAATGGATGGCCAATAAAGAACAATGACACATATTGACAAATTTTGTGGATCGATTGGTGCCCTAATGACTTAAGCCATACCCAAAGCCCAGTGCCTCAGCTTGGGTTCTCTCACGGCTAGGGGCAGCTGTTCTCTCACGGCTAGGGGCAGCTGAAGGCCTACGGTGCCGAGCTCAAGATTTTGGAGTTCCCCAAGTCTACCAGTTGAACATTGGAACCACCTCCAAAAGTGGTGAAACGGTCTGGATACCAATCCAATGCCCATCTATCTGAGCAAAGTAGCTCGGACCAACCCTGATGCTGCATCCAAAAGCTTCAAGCTGCTCACTGACAGCTCTGCAAATTTACAGTGTGCTTTCAGAAGGGGATGAACCCCAATACCAGGGTTTGCCAATGGTTTGCCAATGTCCTGCGCTGGAAGAATCTAACGAAGGTAAAAAAAAATTGCCTTCACTTCCATCTTCTGAATATACCATTGCCAGTTTCCACTGATAAATCATTGATCCAAGTGAGATCAAGTGGAGATTTTTGGTGCAGCACCGGAATGGTTTACTATTCTGATATCCACCACTTTTTCCATTTGACCCCTCTACCTCTAACAAGGGATTGACAGGGAAAGCCCCACTTTCAACAGGTAAATCCAGTCAGTGGGCTGACTGAAGAGACTATTTACAGGAAACCATGGCGTTCCTTCAAATATGATCAACCAATACCTCGAGTTTTCCGGCACTCAAAAAAACCAAGTCGCTTTGGCTTTTCAGGCCGTGTCATCTCAACGAGTTCGACCAGAATTTTTAAGTGAAATCGAGGAATCCCCATCACTGAAATCAAAAAGGTGAGGTGATTTATGGTCAAAAACAAATACTATCCCCAATTTATGGTCATTATGTTGTTATTTGTTTAATTTACAAATGGCCCTGAAATCATCTGATTTCATCATCTGAAAATCGAGGAATCCATCACTGAAATCATGGATTTCATGCCGGCGCTGCCGGCGTCCGGACCCTTTGGGCGTTGAGTCCACTGTCAGTGCTGTGCGCTCTGGCCTCGGTGTTGATCACAATTTTTTTGAAACCAAATATGGGACATGGGATAATATATATATATATAATTGTATATATATATATATATATATACGCAAAGCAACTGAAGTACCTTTTACTCCACTTGAGCCAAAGTAATTAGTGATGATGACTATGTTAATCAGCTATTGTTGCATGAATTGTACCAAAGTGGCTTGGTGAAACAAAACATGGTGAAAACCCCCAATCATTGTACGGCCCCCCCCAGATCGTGCCATCAAAAGGCGTAGCCTTTAACGGTCCAAGTGAGACCCCCCCTGCACAGGGTCTCGTATGTATCGAAGAGGAGATGGACAAAGATCTGGAGAGTTAAACAGCCCTTTTGGAAGGTTCACCAAAACTATTCACAGTTCGCACCAGCTACGCTGCCAAAGGCCCAAGCTCACCAGCTGCACTGCCAAACGCCCAAAGCTGCACGCAACTTCCTCAGATTCCCGCTCGTAAGCTGGGCAATCTATGCAGTGGCATTGACTCAGAGGCAACTCAAACAACCTTGGTGTTCCTTAGTCTTTGACATTTTCCTTCCTCGGTTTGAGACCGACGAGATTACGGAGATGGAGGAATACCTGTTTGTTGAGAGCTTTTGTGAGCAAATCGGCTAGTTGTTGCTTGGACTCGATATGCTCTACCTTTATTAGGTTTCGCTCTACCGCTTCTGATAGCGCTGCTACGGATATGCGATGGGTTCTGTTCATGGAGCGCAGCTTAGGGCTGTAGCCTGTGGCTATCACTTGTATTGTAGCTGTGTTGTCTTCGTGGACTACAGTCTCAATGGTGGTTTTGAGGATTTCTTCAAGGATGGTTTTGATTGGAAGACACTCCTGAAAAACAGCCTCATTTGCTGAAGCCAACTCAGCTTCAGTTGTTGACCTTGCAACTGCTGTTTGACGTTTGGAGCACCAACTCACCGGGAATGTCGCTTCACCTTGGAAGTCAATGCCAGTGTGGCTCTTGCATGTGAGAGGGTCTCCTGCAAGGTCCGCGTCACAGTAAACCCTGAGAGTTGGGGGATGGTAACCAGGCACATGACCCCATAGACCTAAATCACATGTTTGCTTTACATAACCTAGGAGACGTTTCAACTGGATGTCATGGTTCCTAGACCACTTGCATATTGCCCTGGCTAAGCTGGTAATAGCAAAGGACAGGTCCGGCCTGGAAAGCCGTGACAGCCACAGCAATTTCATGAGTAGCGACGCTGCATGTCCAGCTAACTGTCCCTGAGATTCATACCCCTCAGTGGTAAGCAGAGATTCGGAGACGAATGGGGTTTCACAAGGTTTTAGGGCTCCAAATTCTAACTCATACATTTCATACGATGAACGTGCGTAGTCGGGCATGGACATGAAGACTTTCTTCCCTTTGTTTAGCTCAACCACAAGGTGATCCCTTCCTAGGTACCTTCCAGGAACAGTGACGTCATCAAATGACACGTGACTCCTGACTGTTTCCCAAAACTTGGCGACTCCCTGTTCAGGTCCGGCAGCGATTACATCATCCACGTAAGTAGCTACAAGAACTTCCCAATCCTTGAACCACCAAACACTTGGAAACTGTTCAATTCTTTTTCCTTTCATTTTTGTAACCAGGGTGTTGTCAAAGTAATCAAACCAATCGTCACCAGCAGTCTGGTGTCCATACAAGGCGCGATCTAATGGGCATGCAACCTTCCTGAATCTGGAGTGCCATTCGTCTCTCCAAACTACCTTCGGAATTATTGCCCATGTAGGTACTGTCGTTATCAGTGGCGCTTGAAGGTACGCTTTGATGGCATCTGAGATTTGAACAACATTCCCGGGTCGCATTCCGTAAAAGAACACGATGTTGATGGAATGAACCATAGCTGGCAATGATTTTACTTCCCTGTAGGTTGCTTTGACACCCTTTTCAGTTCGGCAAGCATCTCCGCGATAGACCAGCCTAGCTCTG